TTCCCAAGCCCCAGGGGAGCGGGAAGCCAGTGAGGCAGCAAAGAGCCCAGGTGCCGGCCTGGCCGGCCACCGGCAGCGCTCATTTCTGGCTGGACAGTGGAACTGGACTCTGGGCGCAGCGTGCCCCGCCATCTGCCCACCACACGTGTCGCCCGGGCCCAGGCTCAGTCCACAGCGTGAGGCCAGCCCCTGCCCTGACACCCTGAGGGTCTCCAGAGACACCCAGAGTTCCCCGAGCGGGAACCTGCTGAGCCTGGACCCCGCTGCCCGTGTGTTCCTCAAGGCCTGGACACACACCTGAAGGGCCCAGGGGTGAGGGAGCTCCCCCATCTTCCTTCTGGGGACACTTGGCTGCTCAGGGAGCCAGCTGGTCACCAGAGGAACCCATCAGACCCTGTGCGTTGGACGCTCTGGGGCGCAGGGACGAGCGGCTTCCCGGGGAAGGGTCCACCCTGGCACCTGCCGAGTCACAGGCAGCGCGGACCTGAGGCTGCACCCCGGGTTTCCGGTGCGATGGCCAATGGGGTTCGTCTCCTCCCAGCCCACGCTGGGCGGGGCACACAGATGTGCAGAGACCCCTTGGCAGGTGTGGAGGGGGAGGGCGAGGGGCTGTGGCGGCTGAGCCCTGGGCCCGCGCAGGAAGAAGGGGACGTCGCGCAGGGCCAGCCCGGCGCAGCGGGGTGGGGGAGCTTGTGGGCCTAGCGGAGGGCTCCCCGTGACTGCAGGTCGCTCTTCAGGCTGGACAGCTGGGAGGGGCAGGGCCAGGCGCCCGGCTCTGAGCGCCGGGAGGGTACAGGGGCCCGAGGGCAGCAGGTGCAGTGTGAAGCGTGGGGTCAGCTGTACCCAGAACACTCTACCTGGGGGCTCAGCGCAGCAGGGAGGACAGCCAGGCAGCTTGGGGGCTGCGTCCCTGGAGGTGGGGTGACAAGGGGGGCTGGGGGCTGCACACTCGCGGGAGAGAGGGGGCGTGGCCCCTCCTGTCTTGCCCCCCTGGAAAAGGTCAAACCGCAGACCCTGGGGCTGGGCCGCTGGGAGGTGGAGGCAGAGGCGTCCGGCGTCCAGGAGCTGACCGACCTCTATGCGCTGATGCTGGGGGAGGGGCGGGGCACAGCAGCGCAGGCCCCTGGCTCGGGCTGAACGGGGTGCTCAGGGGAGCAGCCCGAAGAGCAGGAAGAAGGAAGCTGGCATGGGGGGGTGGGGGGCGGCGGGCGGGGGGCAGCCCTGGGGCTGGCTGGGCTGGGGAGCGACGTTCCCCTAGATTCATCAGCCACGTTCAAGGCGGCCAAGGGCAGATAAGAAAGTCGCTGATCTTCGCTGGATTTGTCAGCAGTGAGCCACGGCCTGAGCACCCAGAGGGGTGTGGGTGCTGGGCTGATGCCAACGTGGCGCCCGAACAGCCGCGGGCGGAGACCGGAACCTGCGCTGGAGCGCAGCAGAGGGACGCGAGGCCCAGCCCTGTGCGCCCGGAGTCCGGGGCCCTCCAGCTCCCCGGGGCATCCGGGGCATCCTGGGGCCCTCCAGCAGCTCCCCGGGGCGTCCTGGGGCCCTCCAGCTCCCCGGGGCGTCCTGAGGTCCTCCGGTTCCCCAGCTCCCCCTTCCTGCACTCCATCAGACAGCAGACGGACGCGAGGCCCAGCCCTGTGCGCCCGGAGTCTGGGGCTCTCCAGCTCCCCGGGGCATCCGGGGCATCCTGGGGCCCTCCAGCAGCTCCCCGGGGCGTCCTGGGACCCTCCGGCTGCTCCCCGGGGCGTCCTGGGGCCCTCCGGCAGCTCCTGGGGCGTCCTGGGGCTCTCCGGCAGCTCCCCGGGGCATCCTGGGGCCCTCCAGCAGCTCCCCGAGGCGTCCTGGGTTCCTCCAGCTCCCCAACCTCGCCTTTTCCTGAGCTCCAAGCAGACGAGCCCTCTTGTCCGGCCGGACACCCCCTCAGGCATTCGCACGGCTCTGTTAGGGTTCAGTGAGCTGCACCCCAGACCCTAGAACACAGACACAGGCGTGGAGGAGGAAGGGAAGAGAGGCCTGAGCTCCCGGA